TCCGAGTGAAGCTAAATTTTGTCTACACCTTTATTTTACCTCATGAAATAATGTCTTAAAAGTCCCCATCAATATCGCGCTTGGGTTCTCAGATATTCAAGGTCAAAGGTCATGAAAATCTTATTTTCTCAATTATCTTGCTTTTCGTCAGGCGTGTAACTTTTTGCCTGATTACAAGGAATTAAAAGCGGAAAATTCTCTACAGAAAAAGGTTATATAAGTCTTTTCTGTACAATCAATGAGCAGAGGATGGTGAGGTAGTGCAACTGTGCCAAAGAGCCATGCACTTTTTCATTTTTCTGAATTTTTTTATAACCTTTATTTGCTTCTTTGAAACATGTTTATACCAGCTCACACAACTGTACAAAAAAAAAATAAGTATTACCATGGCTTCACGGTACCATAGCACTACCTCACCAGCCGCTGCTGCAACCAATAATTCATTTAACAGAGGCTAACAGAGCCGATATTCTGCAAGGCGCGCAACGCGGTGTGTCTCTACAAAACATTATGTGGTGCCTCTCTTTATTATAACCTTGAGTTTGAACAGTCGCGCGTCTACTGTCATGTTCATTACTGTATGGTCATTGTCATGGTCACTCATGTCTCAACGCGAATTTCGATAGCTCTACCGGAAAAAATATGCAGGATGAAGAAGATATCGACTTTGATACTATTGACCTCCTGACACAAAATATAGCAGAAGGAAAAGAAAATGTTAGAGAAGATGACGAGAATCTGGAGGTGTGGACAAAGAACGAGAGTTTGGAAGAGGTGAGAGAGGACGATAACGTGGAAGAGGGGACAGAAGACGACAAGTATCCGGAGATGGGGACAAAGAACGAGAATTTGGCGGATATGACAGAAGATGAAGGCATGGAAGAGTGGACAGAAGACGACAAGGCTCTGGAGGTAGGGACAAAGAACGAGAATTTTGAGGAGATGACAGAGGACCAAGACGTGGAAGAGGGGACATATTACGAGAATGAGGATAGCACATCCTCATTCTCTACCTACACCTAGAAGACACAACAAGAAAGGTTATGGATTAGACCTACAGGGGAAACCATGTAAAAAAAACGCACCTTGCATCTTACCTTTGGGGTGGTGTGGAAACGGGTGCTGCCCTCTGTTTTCCTGGCGTATAAAGTGAAAATGGTTGGTTTGACGTAAAATATGTAAATATTTAAGAAAAACTGATTTCTGTGACATTTGACCTTGAATATCTTGAAACGCAAACAAGATATCAGTAGGGACTTTTAATAAATTATTAGTATAATAAAAGTAAAGGTGTATGCGAAGTTACAACTCATTATTCATTTATAGCAGTACTTGAGTGGCTGGAACAAGCTATAACGACTCCAAATGCAATCTTTAAATCTACAATGCTCAATGGAGTATTTTCCGATTGGTCCAAATTGTTTCCTGGATGATCCCCCATAGGAGCACGGCATTTACCACAATCAAAAGAAAATCGCTTTAGGTATCTCTGAGAAGAAAAACCTATGTGGTTTGCATATCTACGCTTTACTCTCTTCGCATGGGAAGCCAAACATTGGTTAAAAATGGACAATCGGCAGTATAATAAAGAATCAGAAGAAAAACCCTACAACTAATTGAAGAACGGTCAACAGGTATCGACATAGAAAGGAAACTTCACAAACAATCAAATGCTGTTCCCAGAAGTGGAACAATGCCGTATTTATAATAATCTACCAGAAAGGAGGCGAATCAGACCATCGTAGAGAAATTCTTTCTCCTTATGAGCTATAGGCTCAATGCCTAATGAAATTCATAGCTAGTAGAAAGTGGTTCAATAAGAAGTGCATCAGGCGAGAATGTCGATGGAAAAGATTCACCACTTATGATACCTGAAACGAAGATCGTTAATATTTATGATGAGATACATAATTGCATTGGACTATTTCAGTAGTATTTCAACAACCATCGAAGACCTCAAAAATACAACAACATATACTAAAGGACCCCGAAACCATCAAGGAAATAAATGGTAATATACATACATACATACAACTTCTTTAAGAAATGGAAGAGTTCAGCAGGAAGTAAAACCAAAGGGGAAAAAAGGCAAAAAAAATTTATGACGCAGGACATATAATTGAACCTTATAGAGGAAAGACGAAAACACATCGGATAATACGCACAAAAATTAGGGAAGCGAAGGAAGTGTGGCTCCGGGAATCCTGCAAAGAAATAGAGCAGCTTCAGACCTTACACGATGACTTTAACTCACATAAAAAGATAAAAGAACTTTATGGCATATACAAAAAGAAAACCACAACAGTGCTGTATAACGATGGTGGAAAGGTACTGTTAACAAAGGAAGATCAGGGTAATGAATGGCAGCAGTATATTCAACAACTGTTCGAGGACGAGACTCGCGAAACACCAGAGAATCTATTGACTGATTATATGACAGAGCACGGTCTAAGCATTCTCAAATCCGAAGTTCAAAAGGCAATACACCAGTCAAAAGCAAGAAAAACTCCAGGACCCGACCAAATTCCTATAGAACTAATAAAACTACTCGATGACTAAAGCATATCTATTCTGACGGCATTCAGGTTTACCAAACTGGGAAACCTTCCAACGACTGGCAGAAATCGTTTTTTATCACCTTATCCAAAACCAACAAAGCTTATAGATGTAATGACTTCCGACTAATTAGCCTAATGAGCCACACTTTAAAAATACTCCTAAAGATACTTCTCAATAGAACATTCACCAAATGTGAACACAATATTGACAGGGAACCATTTGGATTTCGCAACGGGCTGGGAACGCGTGAAGCCCTTTTCTGCATGAGGACATTATTTGTTCGAATTATCTATCTCACATTGAATATTTTTACACTTATTATTTTTCAATTTAGTCGTTTCCAGTCAAATATATTTTTTGCCCAGCAACACATAAAAACCATTGACCTAAATTCCTAGAATATCTTCTGGAATATTTTTGTAAATAAAAAACCTTTGCTTTTCTTGTCTGGTATTTTCTAGATGTACTGGGGAACCAATCAGGAAGCCGCACGTTATCTCTTCTTTTTTAGGTTCTAAACTGAGAAAGTGAAAAAGGGGTCAGTCAGTCCACTCAGTCCTAGTCCACTCAAGGGACAAGACACGCAATTTTTTCTCTCTAATTTCTCAATTTCTCTACTTTCTAAAATATTTCGCCCGAAAGTATTGTTTTTATATGTCTCGATCATATCTCCAACCCTAGTTAATAACTTCAATATTGTAAATAGTAAATAATAACATTTAGTCTAAGCTAAAGTGCGAAAGTGCCGATCTTTGCCTGTGCTCAGAATTAATTATCGGGAGTGAATATCAGACTAATGACTTTTGTTAACCGGGCAATAGAAATATAAAAAATATAAAAATAAAAAATATAAATAAGAAAAAAATATAAAAAATAAAAATTACCTAATTTTTATCGTCATAAAACCGGAACTGTATATAATTTGTAAATAAATTGTAAATAACGGGTCGTGGTTTAATTGCATTAATAACCCGCTGCTAAAGAAACCAGTACCTACCTAAAAGTTAGAAAAGTGAATCTTTTCTCCCTTCCCAAAAATGATGGGGCTTTAAGCAAAACCCCCTTCAACATTATTGCAGAAGAGCTGTGAGTTTCGAAAAAAAATCTATATATGTTTTATTGACTTCGAAAAAGCATTCGATCGAGTCAAACACACCAAGCTTTTCCAATGTCTAAATTATATAACTTAGACTATTATGACATGCGCCTCTTGATAAACCTGTATCATAGTCAGTAATCGGGCTGGATGACAGCGTTACAGATGAAATACCAATAAAAAGCGGCCTAAGACAAGGATGTTTTCTGTCACTCCTGTTGTTCAACTTCTATCCAGAGAACATATCTCGTGAGGCTTTACATGACAGGGCAGAGGGAGTAAAGATGGGAGGCGAAATAATAAACAACGTAAGATACGCAGATGACGCTGCCATCATTGCGGAGAACATGGAAGACTTGCAAATACTTCTGGATAGAGTGCATGTGGCTAGCCAAAGACGGGGTATTATTATCATCAATAATATCAATCACATCAAGAAAACGAAATGGATGGCCGTAGGTGAAATAAATATCGAACCAACTCCAATTACAATCAACAGACATAACATTGAACTAGTTCCACATTTCAAATACTTGGGCAGCTGGCTAAACAGATGGAGCTAAGTGTGACGAAGAGGTAACAGCGAGGATTGAAATGACACGTAGGGCATTTAATAAATGGAAACCAACTCTAACCAATAGCAACCTCACAGTCCAGATGCGGTTAAGAACACTCAGCAACTACGTATGGAACATTCTCTTGTACGGATGTGAAACATGGACGCTTGAAACTGATACCATGAGCAAAATAGAAGCGTTTGAAATGTGGTGCTATCGGAGAATCCTCAAAATCAATTGGACCGCACACCAGCAATAAAGAGGTATTAAGACAGCTGAATAAGGACCGAGAACTTTTGAACACCATAGAAATAAGAAAAGTTAGTTATTTCGGACATATAATGCCAGGCACCAAATATCACATCAGGTCGCAAAAAACTGTCATCTTCAAAACATTTGAAATTGGACCGGACTGGGAGTGGAACAACCATTCCAAGTAGCGACAGATAGAGAGCAATTTAACCAGATTTTCATGGAGATAGCCCACGCCTGAAGACAGGCACGGAACCGAAAGAAGAAGATTTCAGTAAATGAGCTTGAGAAAGTTGAGGAGTTTTTTGATGGGCTGGATCAGAAGCCATCCATGATTGTACCTTAGAAAAGATAAAGATAGCTAATGACCGAATGGAAGCCCGGTATAACGTTAACCTGATCTGATTCTTAAAAAAATCATCGACGTGAAATATAGGATCCAATACGTAGTTCCAATTGAAAGATCAAAGGATTCCTAAGATCTCAGATCTAACATCGAATTTGTGGATAATGAAATATAACAATTTTGACCTTACCTTAATATATCCACGTTTACAATTACAAACATTTGGAGCAGTGCAGTTTCCATTTTCGCAGCCTCCCTCACAAATCGGTTGGCAATGAATGAACGTGTGCGGTATCTTCTCGTATCCGGAGCAACAAATTTCTATTTTCGTTAAATCTGGTCTCGACTAAAAAAGCTCATCATTATAAATCAATTTTAGCTTCTTTAATTTCACTTACTCCATTTCCACGTGGAAGTCCGGCTGTCCTATCTTCCGGAGCTATTATATCTATAGTTCTACAAAAAGCAATATTTTCAATAGATATAAACGATACAGTTTTTAATTATTATTTCATACATTAGATTCGTAAATACTAGTTTATCGAATATATAAATACAATTTAACCTTCATTATTTATTTAATTTATCTCCACAAAATAAACTAAATAATATTTAATGATGTCAAGCTTTATGATTGGAAAAAATACTGGGATTTCTGTCATGTAGGTAGAGCAGAAGGTCAAGATTTATTACCTATATGAAGTGAATCGCCTTTTTTTATTTAATTTGATATAAAGTACAAATATTCTAGTATACTTTTATATATTAAAAAATATCACAAATATATTACTTACGGTACTTCCAAAATGCAAACACCCCTTGTATTATTGGGATTTTGGCGAGCAAAAGCAGGCACGAATAAGACACCAAAAACTGCCACAACTTCAAGTAACTTCCACATGGCTTTAAAGTCTATCAAACTTTATTTTGGCTTTGAAATGTTTCTGGTTTTCCTCTCCCTTATGCTATTTTCGTAGTGGAACGAAATTCAACTGGATTTTAGTTCTTTTAGTTTAAACGCTGAAAATAGATAAAATGCTGTTTAAAAGATTCTCAGTTTATGTTCTGCAAATAGTTGAAACTGTTACGGTAACTTGTCATTGATTATTCTATGAAAATACATGTAAAGCTGCTTAGCATAAAATGGGTGAAACATAAATAATGGATTTTTGTTAAGTGTTTTATAACTCTATAAACCATCAGCGAAAACAGAAATATTTTTAATTTCACCAAAGTTGATTTGCCATTGAAAGTCTCAAAGCCTCAAATAATTAAAATCATGAAAAAAAAAATAGATGAAGATTTCAGTTCACTTACAACGAAAAATTCCTCTTGTTGGCACAAACGACAACTCAACGGATGCTGTTTCGCGACTATCTTGACATTAAAACCAAATTATCATTTATCGTCGAACCGCTGATGTAAAAACGAAATTAATATTTTAGTTCATACAGGGTCAAGTCATGTAAATACACAAACAATACTGGGAGTCGATAAATTAAAACCAGTTGTTTTTATATGGTTGAGCTCCAAGAATTTGTGTTCCGAATTAATTAGTTTCTAGATATTCGCTAATTTTTAAAAAGCTTAAGATGTTTTGCACATATTGTGGCGTGGCCTTGTTTATTCTAAAGTTTAAAGCAAATAATAAATATATGACCGTGTTGTATATGCTGGCACTTACATTATACCTTGTATACTGCGAATAGTTAGCCAGCAGAAAAATTAGGCCACTTCTCTTGTCGAGGTTGAATATTTTCATCAATTTAAGGTATCAATCAACATTCCAAAAATTGGAGACCAGTATCAGCATGCTTTTAACCTGGTATTTTCTCCCGAAATCACAATGGTCTGGCTCAATCCAAACCAAACATTCTAGAAGAACATAAAAGCTGCTGCTTTCAAAGCCTGCGGTGATTTGGTGATCTCTCGAACCTACATATATACAGGGTGACTGGTAAGTGGACGTATTCCTTTGAGGAGGTGAAAGTAGAGCCCATTTGCTACCGATTAAACATCATTTACCTCTATACCATTCTCAACGGTTTTTGAGATATTTTTTATTTTTATATTTAAGAAATTCACTTTTTTGGGAGGTAAATATTTAAAATTAACGAAATAATAAGGAACATACCTTATTTAGGTAAATGTTAACACCAATATTTGATAACATTTCTATTGTAACACGTGGTATTAAAAACAAATCGAGTAATTTTTTCTTCATATTGGTTACTCTTACAAATAAAACTTATTTATTTAATAATAAAACAAAAGACTAATTCTGAAATAATGTGCCTTATTCTGAAGACACTTATATCGAGAACTTTTATTAATAATTTGTACGTTTGATGTACTATGAAATTTTCGAAATTTTTAAGCATAAAGTAACCACTAGTTTGTAACTTGACAAGGAAAGTTAAGTTTAAACCGAAATAATTTAATAGTTTATGTTATTGTTTCAATAATTTTCAATGCTAATATTTGTGTAAGTGTGTCAGCTTATAATTTAAAAAGCGACATCTAAAATGGCTTTTATTATTTTCCTTAATTTTAAATATTTACCGGGCAAAGGAGCGAATTTCTTGGAAATTAAAAAAGAATAAATATCTCAAAAACTGTTGAGAATGGTATAGAGGTAAATGATGTTTAATCGGTAGCAAATGGGCTCTACTTTCACCTGCTCAAAGGAATACGTCTACTTACCAGTCACCCTGTATATACACTTCCGCGAACTGGCAGATCAGTTTTTATAGGTCATTGGTAGAACCTTGAGGTTGATTCATATATACTGAGCTTTAAATCTTTAGATATAATATTTATAAAAATGCTGCTTCAACATCTAAGTAATTTCAATTTCATCGTTTCTAACAACAGCTACAGCAAGCGTATAAGTATCTGGAACATGAGATTCTTATATAGGCAGAGATAACCAAACTCGAGAGATAGCGCGAAGAGTCGGCTCAAGTTGGGCAGCCTTTGGAAAAGTGAGCAACACTTTGAAATTCAACATTCCAACCAGTTTAAAGAGAAAGGTCTGCAATGAGTGTGTCCTTTCTGTGTTAACCTACAGAGCAGAAAAATTGACACTAACAAAAAAGGTAGTAAATAAAAATGTAGTCTTTGATCTAAATTATAAACTTGGAGTATGTATGTAGGTACTTTTTTCTTGATGAGGCATGAATAGAATCGAAATTTCTAACCATATGGAGAGATATACAAGAGCGGTCTCAGAGGTCCAACCAAACCAAGCAGCCATCAACCAGAGTGTCAGAGGTCCCACCAACAGTGGTTTCAGAGTTCCAACCAAACCAAGCAGCCATCAACCAGATTTCTAGAGTTCCCACCAGTAGCGATCCACAGGTTTAACCAACCAGAGTCCCAGAGGTCCCACCAACAGTGGTTCCAGAGGTCCAACCAAACCAACCAGCTATCAACCGACTGCCAGAGGTCCCACCGGCACCAACAGCGGTCCCAGAGGTTCAACCAAGCCCAACAGCGGCCAACCACATTCCCAGAGGTTCCACCAATAGAGGTACCACCTAATAGCGGTTCCAGAGGTCCAACTAAGCCCATTGCAAAATCAACAGAACAATGGCGGAAGAAATGAACTTACGTGCTGCTCAGCAAAAAGAACTAGGCAAAAAAATCATGCAGCTTTACACCAACTGTAAAAAAGATGGACAATTAAAAAAAACTGAACAGTATGTAGAACAAAAACTTAGAGCACTAGAAGATCAATGGGATGCAGTTCAAGAGAATGATCATGAACTAAACAAGTTCAATGAACCAAACCACGTCTACTTCACTAAAAAATACCTGCAAAAAATAAAAGAGGGGTATGAGACTTGCAAGACGTACCTTGAAACGATCAATGATGATCCACAACTCTTACTCTTGAAGAAACAGAATCTTAAATGTGAGGAATTGGATAGAACCATCGACCAAGTCAACCAAGATCTAATTGAATCAAAATCAAGAATAAGGTATGAATTACAACAGAAAACGGTGGTAAAACAATGGGAAGCTTTTCAAAAATTGCACGAAGAGATAATAATTCATGAAAAATCATCCACCAGTGCCAGCATCAGAAAACCACTGAAAACAACTACGAGACAGAATGGGACTTGCTTCAGAATAGATATGAAAAAATAAACGACTATTAGCCTCGAAACTGATAGACAAGTTATTAGACCTCCTAAACCTTTCCACCGAAAAAGTTGAAAAATTGAAGAATGTAGGTACTCGTGGGCTAGGAAATATAGGAGTAAGCACACATTTATGGGGTCCAATCAGAATCATCAGTCGGAAATGGGATTCCGAAACCAACAAGATGTATAAACAAACAATAACAGAACCACACAAAATTCAAGACTACCAACAATTCATGGAATTACTTGAAAGAAGATTTCAATCTCTGGGAGCAACAAGCCCAAGTAGAAGAAACAACTCAGCTTGAATATTGCAAGAAAGATCATGCGATGTATCACTGCCAAGCGTTTAGAAATTGTCGGTAGAAGAAAGAAATCATTTTGTTCAGAAAATAAACCTTTGCGTGAACTGTCTCAACTACGAAAAACATATTAGTTGACGCAGCAGCGTAACTTGCCATGTCTGCAGAAAGCATCATCATACAATCCTACATAATGAAAACAATCAACGAAACTTCAACAACTCAGGACATCAGACATAAAGAAGAACTGATGAGAGAACCTCAAATCAAAATGGAAATAGCAAAACACGCAGCAATTTCAGGAAAAATGATCAAAGACAAAATACCTCAAACTCTCACGTAAAGGACCACGAAGAGAATGTTCTGCTTGCCACAGCATTAGTAGAAGTAGCAACAACTAGCACCACCCAATATTTACGAGTCTTCATTGACCAAGGATCACAACCTGCGTTTATAACAGAAGACGCAGCCCAGCGTCTTAATCTCCCACGTCAGAAAATCAGAGCAGAAATTTCAGGCATAGGAGATGGTAGCTCTCAAGCTACTCGGCAGTAGATCTTCACATCAAGCCACGCTTTCCGAGCAACTTTTCACTTGAGATGAAATTGTTAGTACTCCCAAATTCCTAGCAGATCCAACCTATATGAAACCAGGTCCAATTGATACTATAGTTGGCCCGAGAGAATATACGCATATTGGTCTAAATGACATTCAAAAAATAAGAGAAGGGCTTCTTAAGCAAAATACGGAACTAGGATGGATGGTATCTGGAGGAGTATCGTCATATCGTCAAACCACCTTCCACTTCAAATGACCAGCATGATTTCCCGACATGAAGAAGATAGCAGCATATGTATCAGAAGATGACGAAATCTGTGAAAAACTTCACGATGAGACTACCTTTCGAAATGAAAAAGGAAGATTTATAGTCAGAATTCCTTTCAAACGGGGCACGCAAGTATAAGGACAAACAAAACCTAGAGCGGGTGCCCGTTTAAGAAGCCTGGAAAAAATCAGATTAAAACTTATTGTTGTTTCTCCTACTTAAATTGTGCCGAAGTCACAATTGGCCTAGCAACGCTAGTAGAGGCGTGAGACTGCGCTCTAATAATTACTTTTGCTTTAGCCTTAACATTGTAGCAGGGACTCTGTCTGGACTGTCTGGTTACATTTGGCTCTTCCTTAAACCTGTTGCAGGTGGTTTGTCTGGTTACAGGCTTTTCTTTAACTCGTATAGCACTGCTCTTCTATCCTAAACCATCAGGATCAAGCAGAAAACACCATCCAGAGAAACTGAGTCTCCTGGAGCGTACAATTATTATAGTTTTCTTCATTATTTTTTATCCATGTTTTTGTTATGTGTCTATTCTTCTTCTCTAACTTAAAATTCTAAATTCCTATATTGATTGAAATAATTTTGCACCCCTAAACGTTGTACCATTTGCTCTACTATTTTAGGTTTTACATGGAGAATAAAATGCAATAAATGAGAATACTTTCACCCGTTATAATAAAAAAATACGTATTCGATTATTATTTTTTGTACTCATACTATCAATATTCCAAGTCCAAATATCAATTTTTCCTCCGCTAGTTCAATTTTCCATATAGTAGGCCCATCCAGAGATAGCTCACGGGGTCATAGAGCATGCGTTCAGGTGCCAAATTGAAGCGATTTTAATATTTTGGCTATATGGGCTTCTGTTATTATTACTACCATGACATTTTCCATTACCAGACCGATCGGGGAGAAAAATCGATTTTAGCCCCATGGGGCAACTAATTTTCCTTGAAACAAAACGTCAAGGATGGAGCGTGTAAACGTGACGGACCGTTAGCTAATTCCGAAGTTATAGTTCTGACATTCAAACGATATTCGAAAATATTTCTGTTGTCCTACTATAGGGGCCCAAATCGCGAAAATGTGCTTGCTACATTTGCCACATGACGTCACATCATCAATCAAAATCCCTTTTTATCAAAACTTTGCGTTTTACTTCATCATTTTGAATGTTTCTACGGTTGCATCTTGGCGAAGGACTGTGAATTTTTATTCCAGATTTTCGAATTATTTAAGATGATATTGATATATGATAGTTATATGGAGCATAATTACATCAAGTATCTGTACGTTATCATTTGGTTGCTTATTTTTAATAAATAAATCCACATATTTTGAATTACAAGAATCTGGAAGATGACACAGATTGTTGGCTTATCATCAAGAGGTCTGAAGAGTTTTTTGAGTCAATATGCCTAATCACATTGAAATAATTTCATAAATTTTAAATCACTCTCCAAATTTGGCTTGACTAAACTTCACAAGGATGGCTTTTTCATAAGACCGGTAGCGTTCCTTGTAGATTCACCTTGTTACAAACTATCATCGTGGATTCCAGAACACTTACCTGAAAATTCTAACGGATTCACTGGTAATTATCACATGCTGCATTAATTTCTCTGCACACCAAACCGCGCCGGCGGATTGCATACATCTCATGATCAAATTGTGTCCGACAACCTGATTTCTTATTTCTTCTTGTTATTGGACCAAAATTTCTCTAAATATAATTGGCAACTCTATGAACAGATCTGTGGTATAACTATAGGCTCTTATTTATCTTCCTGTCTATTCTGAGTAAAGTTTTTAATGAACAACTTGGATTAGCAAATCATGAAGAGCCGGTATACTCTTCTTTTTCTGACAGCCTTCAAAAGTTATGCGGAGGGAAGACAATTGTATTTTTTAGAGTAGAAATGTGAAAAAGTTGACAGATTTTATGGACTACGTCCACACAGCCCTTGCTAAAATTGCTTTCAGATTGACCAAGGGAGGAATAATATCCTTGTTAGCAATCGAATTTGAGATATTAAATCTAGACAACATTGTCCAATCCTACTCAGATTCTTCGCATCAACACAAATTTGCTGCTTTCAATTCCCTCTCCTACAGACCTTGGAAACTGCCATTATCTACTAAACTGGCATTGATTAAAAAACAAGATACGAATACATAAATTGCCTATAACACAATTTTTCCCTGGGTACGATTGACAATATTTATTTCAACATTACGAACAAATACAAAATGACATTGCAACCTCATAAAGTCAAAGTCCGCGGAAAATGGGCAAGCACTTCTAGTTTTAGACATATACTTTTGGCTTTAGACTTGTCTCTTCGCAAATTATTAGCAAGGTTTTTCAAAGTCCTTTAGCACGGTGAACTTTCCAAATTTCCATCAGTTGGTTGAATCTGGTGTTTAGGCGAATGAACTTTGCAAAGATTTGGCTGTTTATATTGGACAATCGGGTAGAAAAACTTCTGAACTGAAGAAGAAAATATAGATACAAAGAAGACTTTTTATACAAAAGTCCGATTTGCATTGAGAAGTTCTATTATCGGGCAGTAGCGTGAATATCACTGGAAATGAGTCACTCCATTATCGATACTCTAAAGGCACCGGTAGTATGTTTGGGCCATCTCTTACCCAAGAAAACAGTTCAAATCCTACCTACTCAAATCTTTATTCGATAGCTTTTGCTTTTAAATTTTTCTCAACCCATTCCCTGTTGTACATAATTTATCCTTATATAGTAAATTATTCCTCTCACGAATTATCACAGGGGTGTTGCCAGATTTTCTGACGATAGTAGGCCTTTATTCTCGCAGCCCCGAAAGCGCCACGGCGCCACGCATTCTCTAAGTCCGTCGCGACGGCTCTATTTCCCTCGTTCCCTAAAGTTTCGTGTTCTAGTGCTACATCGATAAAATTATTAACATAAACATTTCAACCAGTTTGTAAGTATTTATCTGTGTTGTATATCTTGGTGCTTGTGTAGTCAATGTAGACACGTAACTCCGTTTCGCACTTTTCTTTGACTGGCGGCACGTTTTTTATTTTATTCTTAAAATAGAGTATATTGATCCGGAATTCGGAGGTATACCTCTTGTATAATTTTCTTTTTGACAATTTGGGACAATTACTCCAAGATGCTGACTGATGTTTGAGTAATATCTGCATCTGTATAAGATTAATTTGTTGGAATTTAGGTGATTTAACAGGCTCCAAGAGATAAATGTGTTTGTAGGTTATTGGATTTGGATTAAAAATTTAATCCCTTTATACAGAAATAGAGATACTTACTTTACGGAATTTAACTCCGCAGTGAATAATCAAGATATAAATAGTTCCTTCTGTTAAATGTCGTGGAAATCTAAGTTTTTTGGGTTTAGTGGTTTTTGGGGAAATTAACCTTTGTAATTTGCTTTTTGTGGTAATAGCGATATCCTGAATCTTATATCGTTTCAAAAACTCATTTAATACCTTTGAATGAGCTAAGAGTTTCTTTCATGCACATTTTCCTTGTCCATAGAACATAGAACTCATAACTGTACCGATTTGTATTTTTCCTGAATCCAGAATGTGTAAGACAGAAAATAAATTAAAATTTGTTTTCTATGATTAGGAAAAGTGTATTGAAAAAGTAATCCACTATCCAGCACCGCTTGAAACCTACCTTTTCCGATTTCTATTGTTTTCGAAATTAACTGCTTTCCTATCTCGCCCACCCTGTATTTTACGATAATGTGAATAATAAGAATCCATTAATTGATTTTGTCTAAGAAAAATTCCTGTCTGTTTTCAAATAAGTTATTCCATTTACTTTTTAAAAAATAATCCTTTAATAACAAGACCAAGGCGCATCGATCTTAAATTGAATGGCATCTATTATACGGACAATATAGGTATAATACATTTCGTAAAACGGGGTCCAACGGGGACACAATACAGGAAAATCGCATGCTATATTCAGAGGGTCCGAAGCAGATGTCAATTATTTATCTGAATAGAATTAGGATAAGAAAGCTCTTGTCAATATTCCAGGGGTCCTATTTTTAAACTTTAAAGAAATATTGAAAATTTATTAGAAAAATAGTTGGATTGTTGAATTTCAAAACGCAAATCAAAATTGAATAAACGAAAGCCCAATAAAATTATGTCATGGGGAAAGTGATAAAAGGCATTACAAATTCATGATCAAACGACCATGAAATATGCACATTATAACGACCCATTCGGGATTTAGTTTTAATGTGATTAAACCATTCTAACAAATTTATCATGAAAAAAACAATACATTTTTTATCTTTTTCTGATTAAACGTTTTGTGAAATACGCTTTTCCTTATTTTTCATTTTTATTTTTATAAATCTTCCAGATGCTCTCTTCTGAAAGAAGTTAAGTTTGTGCTTAACCCTCAACAGTCTCCATCCTTGACTGAAGAGCTCCACTTCATAAAGGAAATATTTTCAAAGTAAATGCAAACTGCACAAGCATTAAAGTTTTGCTAGGTTCTCAGATAAGCGAACTGCGCAAAAATAAAGAGACATGGTGAAATTGTTCTTTTACTTCTTTTGAAAATTGTTTTGTCGAATATAGAAGTTTATGAATTTTCGGCTTATTGTCTTATTTTTATAATTTCCTTGCCAAAAATACAATGCACTCGTAGAAGTCTATGCGTAACTTATCAAACACGAATGGCTACAATGATTTCCTGGTGAAAGCATATCTTGATACGTATCTGAATTGCCAGGAGCACGTAATCCTTTTTTTGACCTATATCTCTTAAGGGAGCCTACTCATTACAGTTGGCATGCCATATCATTTAATAAGGTTTTGATGCATGACGTCATCTCTCGAGTCAAGACGGGCTAAAGGCCGTCACACGACCAACTTGAGAGATGCAGTGACGTCACCGCGTGTTTCGAAACTTCCAAACTTGGAGCTTTTTGATAATTTATTTAAATATGAACAAGGGCTCGGAAAATTATGAAATTTTGCACAACTGCTAAACTCAATACGCTCTTTTAGAATATGTAATAAAAAAAATATGCTGAACGAGCCTATTCAATCGTTTACCTGTATTTTGGTGCAAAACACCTGCCAAAAACTTGGCTTCACTTTAGTTTCAGCGCAGCGGTTCACCTGCTATAAGGGCGACGCCGTCTGGTTGTATGAATTACAGCGAGGGAAGGGACAGAACCTGACATTACAACGATTGTGTTGAGAAAACAAACGACTTGGTGTACAGAATTTACCTTTCTCCGAAATCCAAACATTTACTAGAAAAACTAACCCGAACCAACTTGGATGCAATCAGGGGAAGCTTTTTGTTGACCATCATCCTTAAGGAAGAGGCAATGTAATAAATCTCTCTTGTTAAAAAATTGTGCAAAATTTTTGCAAGACTACCTGATGACTAGGAAATTCACGATTGGAAATTTTCAAAGGATGTCGTTGCATGAGAATCAAATACTAAGATATTATAGATACTTGGGTGTGCGGAAAGACTTGTTGGGGATACTGAAAGATCTTTCCAGCATACAAAAACCTTACAAACTCTTCAAGTTCAACCCGATGGGATAACAACTTGTTCTGAAGCTTTTCAGCTAAAAATGGAAAACTAATCTAGCGAAGCTCTTTTGGAGCTATTGGTTGTATTTAAAGCAATGGGTCTTTCCCACGGTTTTTTTTTGGCTTATCTGGAAGGGTAATCAAAATAAAGTCTAGAAATATTTTTTTCGGATTTTTTTGGTACCGGGAAAGGCCTTAAATTTTCATTTGAAATTCAAAATTTCTAGGATGGTGACGTCACGCGCCTAGATTTTCTATTGGCTGCTTTCTTCCATACTATGAATATGTAGTATGTGAGTATTTACCATTGAGGTAGGTAAGTAGGTACCTACAAGCTACCTACACATACATAGGGGTGAGATTTTTGTTTTTGGGACACAATGAAATTCTATCTATCAACACAAGCTTCACATTCCTAGCTCAGAATGCTATTATTTGCTTCATCTACTATGACTCCTATTTGCTCTTATGTACTTTGTGTTATGGGGTTATTCTATAGTTCTACACTGACCAGTAGGTACAATTATGTTGGCTTTCTCTTTTCAGCTGGACATAACTAACAGCATTGACCATATTATTATGTTTTTGCAGGTCATTGGTTTTTGCTTATCTAAAAACAAAAAAAAAACTTAGTTGTAGTAGGTACCTAACCTACTTAGGACAATAGATGAGTTAATGCTTGTTTGTTGCTTATTATAATTATGTTCAGATAAATCTATAAATTTTATTATCTCTAAAAGGCAGTTTTGGTAAAAAATAACGCAAAATAAATCTCACCTTTTCAAATTCACATTTCTTATTTCGGTACTGAAGTCGATTGCATTGGAAATTAAATATTCCCTTCCGACACATGATCACTTGGGGTAAACTTGCAAAATCGGCTTTCTCCAATCCCTGTTCCGCAGTACAGCTTTCAATTTGAACCTCGATTTTATCACAACAAACCGAAGAGTACAATAAACAGCACAAATCGAAAATGTTTTATTTACAAAAAGTACCCTTTTTCGAGGCCCTTTCAGTACCAGATTTTGGGAAATTAAAGGTAAAATCTGCACAGGTAAACAAAAGCTGTGCGAAAGGTGAAGGCGTAGGTTGTAAGTTAGAATTCATTACAAGTACACAAGTCGTGTGTCATGTCTTTGTCCAATAAAGCGTAAAAGATAAAGCTAAAAAATAATCGCTGGAATAGGAATCGATAAACCGCATTTATGTCGATATTTTTTTTCCTTTTCTATCCTATCCATTCAACTAGAGAGAAGAGAATTCGATAGGGAACAGCTTCGGCCGGTAAATAAGGCAACTAAGGGCATTCTGATTGGTGCGAAATCTGGCGCACTATTTCAAATATTGCCATATTTTCCCCTTTAATACCTCCTTCAATATTTTTTTTAAAAAATCAACCACATTCCTTCAAGTATTTTATCGGATAAGCTTCCAAACCATATGGATGAAATACTTAAATTCAGTTGAGTGTGGGAAAGACATTCGTTGCAAAGCTTCATTAGAGCTTTTTTAATTTCATACCATTTCTGGTTTACAAACCAGGAGTAAGTATGTATGGTTTCTTTGCATTGTCTTGTCGCTGATTTTGCATTGTAGTTGGTGTCTAGGGTCTTGAGTTTTTTGAACCAGGAATCTTTTTTTACAGTTTCTGTCTTAATTGAGGGGATTATGATACAAGAATAATTCAGCTCTTGGATAGTTTTTAATGATCTAATACTATTCCTATTTCGATTCTAATTCAAGATATAATCAATTCTTACGTCATTATACTTGCACTATAACGTACTTTTTTTGGCAATTGCCTAATTATACTGCATACGGCTAGTCAGCATCAGTTCGGTGGCCATGGGTCTATGGGTTCCTTGTATACATCTTACCTTTGGGCGCCACCAAGTTAATTGTGACTGAACTAGGAAGATAACTTAATGATGTTATAAACAAAACCTGTGCAATTGGAGAGCTTATCAATAAAACAACTAATTAGGTACAATAATGTATCTGGCTTCTTTATTAAAAATAATAACAAAATATAGGGATAGCCAGGAGGTTATTAAAAATGTGTTTAGAATAATGCTTGTACCAATTTATAAATATTTGATTATAAAAAAAAATAAGAATGTAAATAATGTATAAAAATATTGATTTTAAGTGAACATGACTAAAAACCTTTTGGTATTTACACTTGTGAGTGATAAGAAAAATACAGTATGGGTTACACTTTACCAACAGGCAAATTAAACACAGAAAGATGAAAAGTTATTGTCAGGGCAACCTCAGGGTAAAATTCTAGAATTTTATTTAAGGGGCACTTACCTGATTTAGTATCAAGTGATTTACATAGGATTTGCCTATATAGTAAAAGGTGTAACTTACATGTGAT